TCGAGTACCAGTCGCAACTAAACAGTCATTCATCTAAAGTGCAGAATAGAGGAAAATGCACTTTCTGAACACTGTGTGATCGAATAATTCTGTGCACTTTTCAGTTTCAGACTTTTTTTGTAACAGGTGCAGCTGCTGAGAATTATTTTTGTTTCTTAACTGGTTTGGCTCGTGTCATTATTATGTGTGCAAAGCATAGCCAAGTAAGGAAAACTTAATTTTAATTTTGTAAGTTTTTTTTATCAAGCTTGCTAAATACTGTGCACAGCAAACAACCTCAAAATGTTGTTCTTATTGTTTATTGTATTTATTTATTTATTGTATTTTAATTATTAATCAAAATATTTCTGTTTAAATTTTATCCCTGTGGTATCGAAAATGGTATCGAGTATCGAATATTTTCCTTAGTATCTGTATCGAGTTGAAAAGTATAGTATCGTGACAACCCTACCTTCTAGTACAGATGTCAAAACATTCATACATTAACAATTACTTGACAACAAAAACACTGTTGTTAATTATGCACATCAATGTATTAATATTAAAGACGATAAGTAAAGAATTCATGCTTTTTTTAGAACTAGATTTTGTGTTATATAGGTAAAGAGAAAATGATGTGTCTCTGCAAATGATCTAGGAGTCTTCAGTGAAATCATAGAAAACTATTTTACTAAATATTAAATAATCAATTTATGTAGATATTAGTACTTATAAATGTCAATTTTATGCATATTGATTATTGATAAAAGTGGAAGTAATGACAATGGAAAAGATGTCCACCCCAGAACTCTAACCTGAAATATTTGTTTCCACTATACCTTTAATCTACAAAGCATGGATGTTGATATATATGCGTCTATTTGTTAGAAAAAGGCTGTAGGAAAGTGTAGATCTTTATTTAGCGAATATGGACATTGTGCTTGTTATATTTCCTGTAGGAACAGAGTAGATTGACCCTGAGGTTCTAGCGCCTAAACACTTTCAGGCACCCCTCAGTGTACATTGGTTAAGGCCTGGCCACCCTTATAAAAAAATGTTCTAGCTACGCTTCTGTCACAAAGGAACAGCCAAGAAAAACCACCAACTAACAGTTAGATAATTAGAATCAGCTGCTCAGTCTGTTTCTATAGGAACATACTGTCGTNGAAAAGATGATCTTTACCTTTTACGTAAAAGACATACTACCATTCTGTGCCAAGGTTGCTTTCAGATATCTATAGGGAAAAGGCAGAGTGGATCAATGAGGAATGTGCACCATATAATAATCGGAAAGCAATACCGTCACAATGCAGAGGTGGAGCCAGATGGGGGCCAGGGGTGCCCATGGCCCCCATTAGCCAATCATTGGCCATTTTTTCCCTTCTAGTACAGATGTCAAAACATTCATACATTAACAATTACTTGACAACAAAAACACTGTTGTTAATTATGCACATCATTGTGCTAATATTAAAGACAATAAGTACAGAATTCATGCTCTTTTCAGAACTAGATTTTGTGTTATCTGGGGTAAAGAGAAAATGATGCATCTCTGCAAATGATCTAGGAGACTTCAGTGAAATCATAGATAACTATTATAGTAAAAACATATTAAATAATAATTTTATGTAGATATTAGTACTTGTAAATGTCAATTTTATACATATTGATTATTGATCAAAGTAGGTAAGTAATGACAATGGAAAAGATGTTCATCCCAGAAATCTAACCTGAAAGAATTGTTTCCACTATACCTTTAATCTACAAAGCATGGGTGTTGAAATATATTCATCTATTTGTTAGAAAAAGGCTGTAGGAAAGTGTAGTTAGTCTTTATATAGCGAATATGGACATTGTGCTTGTTTTTTTCCCTGTAGGAACAGAGTAGATTGACCCTGAAGTTCTAGCGCCTAAACACTTTCAGGCACCCCTCAGTGTACATTGGTTAAGGCCTGGCCACCCTTATAAAAAAATGTTCTAGCTACGCCTCTGTCACAAAGGAACAGCCAAGAAAAACCACCAACTAACAGTTAGATAATTAGAATCAGCTGCTCAGTCTGTTTCTATAGGAACATACTGTCGTTGGCCTGAAGGGCAACATGACAGCTCCAACCATATTGATCATGCAGAGGTGCATTGGTAGAAATAAAAAAGAATAGATAACTCTACAATACAGGAATACTGATATATATCTAAACGTGTTTCTTTCTATGATGTTTAGCGACGTCATGTACAGCCACGTCAATAGAAAATGAAGTAATAAACTATTTAAAAACATAACAAACTGCAAGCGACGCATATTTTACTCACCATCTATATCTCCATCGATAAATTCATAATTCCGTGATTTGGATGCGCCGGTAGATACTATTGATAATAAGGTGATGAAAGTAGAAGCTTTTATCTCCGCTACTGTTTCCGCATCTTGGCACCAGTGAGTCCCTGTGGAGAGCGCCAACCTGCTGCGCTCTAGGCTGCAGGCATTCATCCCAACCCTTTTATCAACAGTCCAGTTGAACTTTGCACCTGCTCTGTTTGTCTGAGCGTAATTAAAGGGGCCATCAGTTGGACCTAATTCAAAAGTCCCCTTCCATAAAAACAGATTAGATGTTTGAGGGGGAAAAAAGTGGAACTGATAATGAGAATATGTTGAGATATTTGCTGACACAAATTTTTACACCGAAAAAAAGTGTCACTGAAAAAAATGCAACTGCTTTTGGCATTTACTTTATTATATTTAGTTACTTTAACACAAATGTTTTATGTCCTACCCTGCTAACATGAAACAGTTGTGTTAAAGTAATTATATATGATTAAGTAAATGCTAAAAACGGTTAAAGTGAATCAATAAAGTTAAATTTTGACATTTTTATCAACAATAATTGATTAAATGAAAAATACAATGTAAATCTTTCATTTGACACCAGTTTGAATCTGTTTGGATCGCTCGCCTATGATTAGGTTAACACAGATACATGAGGACGACCTGACTGTGTAACATAAAGCTATGGCAAACACATCAGTAACATTAGGGGCCCCCATATTGCAGCAAAGTGCTATAGCAACCAGCTGCAAAGAAATATCAGTCATCTCTGTAGCTAAATAAGGGATGTTGGTTGTGGCCACTTCGCTCTGAGTTGACATGAGAAATGTTATAAAGTATTTTTGTTTTGTTTGCTGCAGACTGTCAAAATAAAATTCACTGAAATAGCAGGGGCTTTAATACCTGATTTTATACTATTTATAGGGTACTGTAACGGCATATTGACAGTGAGAATGCATATAAATTAATAATAAGTAACATTCCATACACCTTACTATTTAAGATTCAGCTACTTCACATACATAAGGAAATAAGGAAAATTAAATATGTTTTGTATAATATTCATAACTACACAGATGGTTACAATAGGTACCTATACCAAAAAAATTAATATTAAAGTTTGCTCCACCTTGACATTGACAAAGGAATAAATCGATAACCTCATCTTTAAAAGGCTGCCTTATACATGAAATAGCTTGTAACCCTCTTAATATAGAAACAGGGATTCAATCTAGATATGCCAAGCAAATAAGCTATGTTTAAAATATTTCTATTTTCTCCTTTCTTTCTGTTTTTAGCCTGAATGTAGTAAATACTTGCTTTATATGTTATAAGTCACTTTTATTGCATTTTAGTTTGACACATGCAACAGTCAATTGGAAGCCTTCAAAAGAAGGTACAAATAAGCGCTGAAAATTTTAATTAAGTAAACTAGAAAGAAACTTTACAATTACAAAAGGTTTTAAGTGGAAAAAGGAAGAAATTATTATGTATCAATAAATAGATTAGCAAAAGCAAACCTTATAAATATGTTACAGAAATTACAAGAAAAAGACCACATTTTTTGTATTTAATAACTTTATATCCTCTATCAATCCTTATTCATACAGTGCTTTGTATACAGAAAATGTGTAACACATTTGCTGTGGTGAAAAAATAACTTGACATAATTTATATAACATAAGGACAAACACACTTAGCAAGCAAACACAAAATTAGGAAGACTAATTGCGCAGAATACGGAACACCAAAAAACATATCCTTTAACAATAGAAACACAAAAATAATAAATATAGATATATTTGTGGTAAGAACAAAAAAAAAATATTCCAAATACATTATAATCAAACAGAGAAGAATGTATTGTATTTGGGATATTTCTTTGTTCTTACAGAGAAGAATATATTATATTCCCTAAAATTGTTAATGGATAAAACCGGCTGTTTACGTTGCTCAGCAATTGAGCAGGTTGTCCTGGATGCAGCTGCCCTAGCTTTAATTTCCAACCTTGGAAACTTTCCTGCATGTCTTACTCTTTCATTACCTTCCTTTCTTTAAATTTAAGTATAAATAAAAGAAACTAGCACAATAAAATCTTTATAAAATTACCAACTATACATATAATTGACTTTAATACATTCATAGGTTTTTTATGTATATATATTTACAGTTATTCTATGTATTCACTATGATGTATTTTGCATCACAATCAAGTCTTTTTCTCACAATTAAATAATTAATGCAATATTTTCCTACATTTCTTTTATTTGTCAACCTTTATGGTATCTGTTTTGTGATATAAAACAAACTCCTTCTCACTACTGGATTAATAAACTAATTTGGCTGTTTACACAAATAACGGCTGATTTATGTCATTTTATCTCTACAACCTTTATTGTTCAATATCAAGGCAAACAGTGGCTGCAGAGGGCTACTGTAGCCTCCAAAGTTAAATTAGGTAATAAAAGTTAAAGGGAAATAATTTAAAAAACACATTAGCTATTCAAACAATATACCATGTAAATGCCCTGTGAGCACAATATAACAAGTTTACTGAACAGTATGTCTGTCAAAGGACAATGGCAGGCAAAGAAAAATGACCAACCAGGATGAGTTTAATTATATTGATTTAGCTGGAATATGGTCATGTAATGGTAAAACACACAGAACCACTGGGAACTAGATTAAGAGATGTTAATGATGTTCAGGCTACAAACCAAAAAATTAGATTTTTGTTTAAGTTAATCACACCCTAACATCGAGGAGCATCTGTAATAGACGCAATGCAGACTATTAATAATTCTTCATCAGAACTATTAGGATAATTTTGTGAGAAACAAAGAAATCTTTCTACTATACAGTCTATTTTCTAAAAGAGCAGAAAAAGAAGATATTTGACTTAGATGCCCAAAGGGCTGCCTGTGTAATTATGTTTTTAATCCTTAGAAAAAAAATATTTATGCTGTAGCTAGTCCCTTTACTATTTCTCTTCTGCCTTATTGTGGGAATACACATTTGAATAAAATGACCTGACATCCTGCTTGGGTGACTTAAAAATGGGTGGTACATCTTTATTGTTATATCTATTAGACATTGTAAAAGGAGCTCTATAAAATGCAATGCAAGTATATTATATATAGCACAAATCTAGAACAAGATAATTAAATAAGCCTTACAAAAAAAAAAGCACCAGGGCTTTGTGCCAAAGCTTTTGAAATAGACAATCATTGCCCTACTCATCAAATATGTGATCGGTGCACTACTAACCCTTGATGCCTATTCTAAAGGATGTGGCTTATATCAACACCAGATCCTGGAAAGCAGGGGGTAGATCCTCCTTTCAGATATCCACCAAGTCTCAACGATGGCATCTAGTGGTGGCTGAATGAAAAGAGTGAAAGCAGTTTTAAAAAAAAATAAAATCAAGATAATTGCTAAATATCTTTTTTTTTATAATGAAATGTGCAAAACCAACTCAACAGTAAATACAACTTTAATGGTTTTAAAAGAGACTGTAAAAAGAACTAAATGAATCTTCATCTGGCTCCATTCAGCAGAGCAATAATGGCTTTCAGTTTACATTTTTAGAACAGTTTTGCTGGTGATCGGTGATAAAACATGAGATTGAGTACGATGATGATAATCTGCAGCTTGGAGGCTCAGTACTTTATCTGTGATCCTTTGTACCAGCTCTCTGCTAACACAAAAGATTTCAGACAGCTTGTCCCTGTGGCTGCCTTCTCTCGTTGTTGATTACACAGGAAACAGACTTTGACTTTGAACCCAAGTTGTAGGATTTGCAAGCAAATATGAGACTTATACTAAATTCTTCCCTGTGCTGTGCGGAATAAGAGGATGATTTCAAGCTGGAGGAGCTATGTTTGGGTCTTCATGACATCACAGGGAGCACTGAACCATGAAGCAGGATTACTGACTTAGCAAGACAACTTCAGGTTTAATCCTGACTTTCCAGCACCACAAAGCTGGATTCATTGTTAGAAAGGCTATTGAACTTAAAAACAAAATGTGTTCTTTACAAATTAAATAGTTTTCAAAAATATATATATTTTTTCTTTTTGACAAACCAACTTTTTACCAATTTTTTCTTATATAATGTCTTTATACACCCCTGGCATTCACTTGTTTCTTGTATAAATTATATATAAGCTAAAAAATAAAAAATTAAATGATCAGAGAGGAAATTGTGAGAAGATCCTTTGGATCATGGTGACAAATACTTATATGAGTGATAAAGGTTTTCATGGGCTTCTGGACTCCAGAACCTGGAGCTGTGTGTGACCTGCAGGAGTGTGGCCCTCACTGTATCACAGACTCTATGTATGGCTATGGGATATTACCAAACCCAGCTTGGGTATTCAGTATCTCTCGAGGCCACTTGCACCATATAAGAGAGGGATATCTATGCTATTGCAGGCAAGTCAATACCTGGATTTCTGTGAAATTTCATATTCACCGCATTATGAAAATGAGGCTGTTAGATATACAATTTGGCCAGTATTCTATTCTTTTGTTGTTTGAATATGATGAGAAGGGTAGATGTTACACTGAAACTGCCTCGATGGGGGATTAATGGAAAAATAGAGGGTAGGAAATAATAAAACAATGCTGTAACCCTACAAAAAAAAAAAAATAAGGATGATTTCACACAGATAAGCCACTTCTAGTAATATGATGCAATTGTGACATCAGCTTCCAGCTTTATTGAAGTCCATACATTCTCTGAATTGGGAGCTGGTACGGAGCTCGTCTGCCTGGCTGTGTGTTTCCTGGATGGGGTCCTCTGTGGAGCTTCTTGACAGTTACCTTTTGTATCTTTGCTCCCTTCTGTATCTCTGCTTCTGTCTCTTTGAACCCCAGTCGCCCTCAGCAGATGCCTGCTCACACAGAGCCTGGTTCTGCTGGAGGGTTCTTCCTGTTAAAAGGGAGTTTTTCCCCTCCACTGTCGCTACAAGCATGCTTGGTGTCAGGGATTGCATTTGAGTCAATGAGTTGATGCAATCAACTGGTTTTCCTAGATAGAAAACTTTGAATTAATCTGAATTTATGATCTGGTCGAGTTGTCTCTGTAAAGTGCCTTGAGATGATATGTGTTGTGAATTGAAATAAAGTCCAACAAACCTGATGGAATGATTTTTTTTTTTTTTTTTCCTGCTCCGGTGTCCTCTTCACTTTTGGTGAGGGCTACATCTGGGGGATCAGATTCAGTTAATATGCAGCACAGTGATTGGGAGACATTGCTGTGTCCTTAAACATTGACACAGTCAGCAATCCTGTGCTACACTATTTGTCACCTTTTTGCATCTTATTTCTCTAAGATGCGTTTTTGTTCCTCACAGGAGAAAAAAATAGTACTCTTCCTTCTACGCTCATTATTGTGACTGGTCTATTACCTTTAACCCACCCCTTCATACGTGAGCATTCACAGATTTGTTATCAGTTATAGCTAATTTGAGTTGGCGAGTTAAGCTCCCAGAGATCCTCCAGTTGCACATACTGTCTGCAAACACAGGGCTTTATCAGTCTGTGGTGCTGTGCATCATTCATATTTCATATTCCATTCCATGTTTGTATTTATCTCATGGCACACCATCCTTCTACTCTAATAGCAACATGCTGCAATATAACAGTGCAACCAAAGTATGAAAAGTTATTAGATTACTGATTTTTTTAAATAAGGGAATTATTACTAATACTTGTTTTATTCAACCAGGTTAGTAAGTGACACATTTGGCATTCTACTTTTAATGGTATCTACCTCCACCCACATTTCAGCAGTGTTTGGTTTATCCTCTTTTCAGACCTGTATGATAACCTGTTGTCTTTGCCGTGCTCACTACCTTGCCACCAATGACCAACTTCCTTCCCCCTGCAGATGCACAAAGACCAGTTTACTGAACTATGCAGGATTTTATTTCCCAATGCAGGTTTCGAATGGGCAAGGAACTGGTTGTGTGTGAGAATAGGTGGAACAAGGGATAAGCAATCCAAACAAACAGGATAGTCCCTAAACCAACAGCAAGCCCCAGGGAAAAATTCCCACACAAGTCAGTCTAATGAGTAGAATATCTTGTGCAAGTAAGATCTTGATGGTAATTATGCAGAAAAACTAATTGATTATCAACATGTTGCATGCACATCATTGTATTTAGACAGTAAAAACTTTTTTGGTAATATAAGTACATTATTAATCAAACTGTGGTGCCTTGTGTTAATTTGAGGATACCCCTGAATCTAGTGCTGTTTTGGTTCTCTGAACAACCTTGGTAATTTCTCCATGTGGAGCATAATAGGGAGGGTGCTAACTCAGTAACCATGAGAGCTCCGGTGTTAGGGGAAAGCAGGAAACTGTGAATTATGAATATATAATCTTTGCTATGAGAGAGAAAATATAGAAAGCTCCTGCAAACACCTTTACAAGAGCCCTTTAAAAAGGCAGTTACCTAGAAATACATTGGAATTAAAAGAAAGAAATACAAACTTCAAAAAAACTTAGGTAGCTGGTGGAGAAAGCAAAGCTCTTCCAGTTAAACCACAAAAAATTGAAATCTAAATTAGCCAGTTTTTCCTAAATTAAGGGATTTTTTTTTTCTTGAATTGAGGAGGTAAGTGAGATGCTTTACAAATGGAACAAGAAAATGTACATTTAAAATAAGAAAAAACAATTGCATTGACTTATTTGAAAAGCATACAAAACATGCTATCTTATTGTCTTATTTTTAAGAATAAATATACTCACTCAGTTGGAAAATCATCTTATTTATCTACTGAATTTAAGGGTAAATACACTTAATTTAAGATTTTGTTATTATTTCTAGATCGTTTTTGCAGTGTACGAGCATGTGCTTCTAAACATGGTTTCAAGGTTTCTTTTAAGGGCCTTTTATATAGTTTCTATAATTTTATTTATTTATTTATCTGTTTGCTTTAAAAGTAATACCTAAAGAAAGAACCAGTACCTCTTGCTTTTTTAAAATAAAAAATAACAAAAAAGCAAACAGTTACCCGGAAAAGCTGAATCAGGATCTGAATCAGAGAACTTTATTAATCCCTTTTCTTTTGTTGCAGTGCAACCATTTACAGAAGAGAAATTGAACCTAGGTGGAGGTTCAACTGAAGAAACTCATTGCTCTCCCACATCCACCTGCGACACAGCCAATCAGCTTTGAGCCATTCCTCCACGAAAGCCAATCGGCATCCAAAGTTCATCTTTAAAGGCCTCTGATACGCACCTGTCTGCTCCTGTGCGCAGGCGGCGGATGCGCTATGCGATTTCATTCAGATGACACCGTTTCAACCCACCTCCAGCCCCTCCTCCACCATCGTAGCTAAAGCTTAATCAGAGTGTCATTCCTCCCGGACTCTTACTGCGTTCCCTGTCTCATCTTAACCGGTCCGGCAGAGGACCGGCATGTTGAGCCTGGTTCTGCCAGAGGTACCTTCCTGACGGGGAGTTTTTCCTCTCAACTCTCGCTTCATGCTTGCTCATCATGGACAGGTTCTCTTAACCTGTGTTATCCAAATGGACTTCCATCTTCCAGGTCCCTGAGTGAAGCTCTAGTAAAAGCTCACGCAATCCACTGGATCTCCCCATAAAGCTCAGCATACCGTCTCGCTAACCAGCAGTCTACAGACTGACCAACTTCATCTATCTCCACTCTACTACCAGTTTAAGGCCTAGGGGAGAAACAGAGCCCCTGTTCATGCATATCTATCAAAATTAAGCGCTATGTTTCCTGCCGAGGTCTGAGCGCCAATGACAAAGTAAATGTATCAATAAATTCCTCCTAATTGTCTTTTCTCTTCATGTGAGTTTTTCAGATTTAAATAGTTCTCAGGGAGAACCTGGAAAACAGACATTGGCAAGAAATCAAACATCCACTCTTCTGTAGCCATGAAAATTCTCTTTAGGGAGGACCTTGCTCTAGACACCTCCCCTGCAAAATGTTTATAGGCTGCATTTCTTCTAGTCTAAAAGAAGTAAAACACTGCACTAAGAAACTGCAGTAAACAGTCCAGCTGCTCTTGGCTCCTCCCTGCTGAATCTAAGCAGCATTCCAGAAACCCTTTGAAACTGGAAGGAATGTCCTGCTATGAATGAGGGAAGCAGAGATTGCAGGTGAAATATGGGGGGATCTGTTCAAGTCACTTGAAACCTTACAGCCTGTATACAAAACAACAACAAAAACACATTGTGTCCTGCTGATTAGGTTATAAGGGTGTCTAATCCTTATTTTGTCATCATTCATGATTTCCCTGATTGTAGGGAAGGTCTTAATACGTGGCAGAAGCGTGGCGTTACTTTGTTTCGGGGGATCTATTCAACAAAACGGTTGCTGCGTAGCTACGCACAAAAAAAATCCCCCATCGATTTACAGGACAGCACCCCCTTCAGATCCGCACCAAACTGAAGGCATGTGCGCCTGCACGTAGCATTCAGACAGAGAAAATCCAACCCAGACCTCCGCATAGCCAACAGTTCACCGAAACATCACAGGAGAGGAGGAGGATCCTCTGCTCGTTTATTCAAGTCTTCACCGAGGAAGTCACTTTTACATTAGAGGACACATCGGCTGAGGACGCGGGGATTCTGCTTCCCACAGGATGCTTTGGAAAAGGTAAATACAGCCTCATGGATCAGATGAGACATCAATCAGGACTGAATACTCATCTGATTGTTTTCCTCCCAATTAACTGTTAAGGGCTTTGCTGTTTAGCGTAAGAACTGAGAATTATGGGTTTATATTAGTGACCGGAAGGAAGGATGACGTAGGTTAAAAAGTAGCAAAATGCAAAAACAACAGGAGACAAAAGAAAAATGTGGTTCTGCCCACGTTGTTGGCGGAGTTATGGCATTCCTATGCAAAGTAGGAGTGTGGGATGAAACTGCTTTAAAGTTGCACTTATTTATAAAACAGCAACAAAAACAATACTCAAATACACATAGAAATATAAATACAGTGTAAAAAAACCCTTCTGCACTTTTCTAAGGGGTTTTATTTAATAGAAAATACTACAAGAGATGAATCTTGCCTTGCAAATAATGTCTACAGCAAAGATTGAGCGTAAATAGAATATATCTAGTTTAGAGGAGCTGAAGGATCCCTAAATCTGGTTAGTTTTAAATTTAACTTTAAGGGATGTCAGCCTCATGAGTTTCCATGGAGGGGAGGGGCGAAGACGTGGCAGTCTTATCCATTTCCTCTGCCTTTTCACTGCATGGCTATGCTTACACTAAAAGTTAAGTTAGACGCTTCTGTGCCAGGAGGCTTTACAAAAGTGTATAAAAACAAATAAATAAAAAAAATAAGATTAGTATTGTGTGTTAAGGTGGCAGTGAGGGTGCAAAACCAAATTCTGTTTCAATTAGTCTGTAATTTTGTACTTATTTTATAAGGTCAGTACATTTCTGCCTCCTGGACATTACAACTTTTTTCTTTTTAAAAAAAATCTTTTTTGTACTATATACACTCTTTTTTTATATTGTCTGTTGTATTTGATCTTTAATGGCATTTTGCTTTAAATCTTTATACTCTATATAAGCTACTGGAAGCAGAATTTCCTTGAAGGAGTAATTCCAAGGGATAAATACATTTGAGTCTAATGGATAAGGCTTATCAATTATTAGCTATTTAAAAGTATGCTTTTTTGTGTAGTGTTAAATACACAAAATAGAAATACACCTATTATGGCCTTTTGTTGTAGAACATTAAGTAATATTGTAAACCAAATGCCCAAATTAATAGCAGCTTTTTTATTCAGTCTGCAAAATGTTTTATTAAATGCTTTTTGTTGATCAACCTTTTTTACTGATGAGATTAAAAAATAATTGATTGATCCTTTATGTTGATATTGTAGTTAAGAACAAACACAGTAGGAGCTGTTTTTCCACAATAGGCTGTGTTTTCAGGCAAAAAGAGGAGGATATGTTGGAAAGCATAAAAAGATGTCCCCTGGTTTGTGGCTTATCAAAGTTGAAATGGTAATGGCCTTGGCTGTTACAATTGCTGCAGAGCAACAATGAGGCTGGCTCTTGGGTTTGGTATAAAACATGTAAAAAGTTTTTTCTTGTATAATGAGCAGTTTTAATCCGGGCGTTACACTTGGATTTATACAACACAGTATCTGGGAGGCTGTAGTCGTTACCCTGTTATTACATTGATTACAGTAATTAAATTCCTTTATGTTTTAGCTTTTTTTCTGGTGTTTCGTGATGAAGAGCTTTCAGTGATCATTTTTTATGCATACTGTCAGTTTAGGTTGATTTTGATTGAATGGTAGGTGTTCAAATATATTTGAACTTGTTGTGGCAGCATGCTGATGACCTACATTAAAAACCAGAGGGCGAAGTCAGAGCTTGTCTAAACCTGTAGTCTGATGATAGTTTGATGCACTCGGGAGAGCTGCTGCACAAAAACATATTTTTTTTGGATGAATTTCTTTTAACCTGTGGGTAAGGCTGTTGAGTTGGCTACCATTGTTTTAACCATTTATCCTCCCATTTTAACCAGTTTTGCATATATTTTTTTCTGGGATCTCTTAGCTGGCTCAGTGGTTGTTTGAGCCATTGCTTCTAAACAAATTTCCAATGCAAATCTCCACTGTGTAGACATCCGTGTTTTTCAAAGAGCCTCTGTGAGTTCTCATTTGCTCATTTCCCCTCACAAAATGTGCCTATTTACTTTGTTTAAATAGACCATACGTGTAAGTGTACATTGTGTGTGTTTGTCTTTGCTCTGGCAATAGACTGCTCTTATCATCTTACTCGACTGAAGCATCTAAAGACGTTTGTTGGATTTAAATTTTGATCCACCATGGGCTCAGTTACTGATCTTATTTTAAGATTCTCATGTAACTTTGATTTTCTGCCCCATACTGCCCAGAAATACTGAAATGCCTTTCAGGATTTAAGGCTTATTGAAAAATTAGAGCTGAACCATGCATGTTGACACCAAACACAGACTTAGTTTTTTGTTTCTGACATGGATGCGTGGCTGGATGAACTCCCCGTGGCTTTTGCTTACACACATTCTTCCTTTTCTTTCCTTTTGTGTATTGTATTATTTTATATTATCTGTATAATATCCATTGTGTATATATATATATATATATATATTCCAACTTGTTGAAATAAATAGGTGAAACTTTATCAACATCAAAAAGAAGAAATAACAAAAACAACTGATACTGAAAAGCCGTGCAAAGGTGCAAAAGCATGAATCTGTACCGATGCAAGTAGGCTCATGTTTTTCCCTCTGTGAATAAGAGATGTTAGTTTGCCTTTTAAGGAATAGGATTCTGTTACAAAATCTATTAGATATACCGTAGCCTTCATAGAAAGGTTGTTTATACAGTCTAAGAGACAGCCTTCCTATTGCAACGTATCAGAGGAGAGAGAAAGGAAAGAGAATACTTGGGCCAACAACTGTAAGTAAATCAGTCTTGATGATAATCTGAAACGAAACAAGTTCAGTTTTTGGTGCCTTATTATAACGAGAATGCTGATTCTGCACATTTGGAGTCTAAAACCTGATAAATAATCCTTCTATTATTAGGTTTTGAGGAAGTGAAAAAAGTTGCGCATTGCATTATGGGAGAAAAACTGGAGCTGATTCTAATGAATTTACACAAGGATTTCACCTAATCTCTTTCAGAATGGAGCTTCCATGTTGCTTTTTAGTGCTTCTGAGCTGCCTGCAGTCGCTCTCAGCCCACAATGATTTCTTCACCTCCATAGGTAATATTCACATTGTAAAACCGACCCTTCTGGCTGTTCATTTAACCACAGCAAACACCTGCAAATCATAAAAAATGATTAGCTTGTTAATGCATTATTCAATTCATGCATCTGTGTTTGGTTTGTTACTCCGCAGGCCAGATGACAGATCTGCTGTACACTGAAAAAGACCTCGTCACATCTCTGAAGGATTACATCAGAGCAGAGGAAAACAAACTGGAGCGGGTCAAACGGTAAGTCTATGCAAAGAAGCTAGCACACATGAAGAATAGCTTAGCTTTTTGTCAGTCACTTTCATCATCATACAGTCAGCTTCCAATTACTATTCTTAACTATTAAAAGGAATAAATGTTTTGAGTTGCAGAGACAAAGACTCCATCTTTAGACATTGAAGTTTAATCTGAAATGTGTCTTTTGTAATACTCACATGAGTCACATTTTATGTCAAAACAGTGTTATTAAAAAAAACATTGGCTCCTCACACACGTCGACTTCCGCTATATCTGGACCGGGTTGCGGGGGCAGAAGTCTATGAAAAAGATGTCGGAGCCACCTCAGCTGACTCCTCTCGGCGTGGAGGAGATGCGGCTCTATTCCTGAGGCTCTCCAGAATAACCAAGCTTCTCACCCTATCTCTAAAGCCCCTGTAACCCTCAGGAGAGAGCTAATTTCACCCGTTTGTATCGGGGATCTCACTCTTTCGGTCATGATCCAGATTTCATGACCATAGATGAGGCTAGGAACGTAGACTGACCGGTTAATCGAGAGCTTTGCCTCTCCCCCAGCTCTATATTCACCTCAACAGACTGGAGCAGTGTCTGCATTATAGCAGCAGCCACACAGATCTGTTTATATCGGTCTTCCACTCCTTTCTCCCCTCACTCGTGAACAAGACCCCAAGATTCTTAAACTCCTCCACTTGAAACAGGAACTTTCCTCCAACCTGAAAGGGACAAGGCACCTTTTTCTGGTTGAGAGCCGTGGCCTCTGACTAGGAGGAGTGGATTCTCATCCCAGGCCACTTCACTGCATGTGCATGCTGTAGGTCTTGGCAGGAGGAAGTCAGCAGAATCTTGCCATTTGCAAAAAGCAGGGAACCAGACTGCACCTGTCTGCACCTAGTGGAGTCTAGTGACTTCTTGGTAAAAAAAAAACAAACAGATTAAATTGAACACACTTAGGCTTCGTATGAAAAAAGACAAGAGGATACCAGACAAAAAATATGTTTTTAGCGCATGAGGAAATTCCAGTGAATTATGAAAAAAAGAAAAACTTACCCCAAGAGGGTAGCATTTATATTATTCTGAGGATTTTTAGCTCTGTTATGAGTTACACTGTGATGTTATTGCCGGTACTACAGAGTTCAGACACAAGTGAACATTTTTAGATTACAGCTGTAGTGCTGAATTCAATCATCATTGGGTATCAGTCACGTTTGGCCAACATGTTTGCATTATAATGCTAATCAACACACTTGTAACCATTTTCCTGACAGGTGGGCGGACAAGTTGGATTCCCTGACAGCAACAGCCACACAGGACCCTGAAGGGTTTTTAGGCCACCCTGTCAATGCTTTCAAACTGATGAAGAGGCTGAACACAGAGTGGGGGGACCTGGAGAGTCTGGTACTTAGTGACACCACTGATGGTATGGATGACTGAGGATGTCTTAAATAATTTAAACCAGTTCTGTCAAATAGCTAATAATACCTATTAGTACAACAATTAAAGTAGTAATAAAGTCATAGCAGCATTATCATTTTGAACTTTATAATCACTTGAACTTTGTCAATCGAGATTTTGGAGGGTTTAAGTTTTTCTATTCAGTGTAACAATGTGAAGGGTGATAAAGAAGCTAAATAAACTCAAATGCTTATCAGGAAAATTCCATAACAAGTATTTATCTTAGGGATTTTTACTCATATTTAGTTCAGATAATAGTTTATATTTCTCCAAGTTAAGAAATGGTAAATATATCTTTATTACTGTATCAGTTTCTGCTAGGAAATATCAATGTTTTGTGATTCCATTTTTTTTTTAGAACAAGCTCCTTTTTAAAGCTGATTCTAGTTTAACACTGTTTTAATGGTGTGTGTGTGTATCCATTGTTTTATTTTATTTGCTTTTTACATCTAAATTTTCCCCTTTTAAATATATAAAGTCACAAGATTGATTGCTCTTCAAACTGTGTTTATATCCTTAGAGGGAAATGTGTTTCCTTATCTTTTTCTGTCATGTTCTTTTCTACCAGGATTTATCTCCAACCTAACCATCCAAAGACAGTACTTTCCCACTGAGGAGGACCAAACTGGGGCTGCTAAAGCTTTGCTTCGGTTACAGGACACCTATAAACTTGATGCCAACACCATTTCAACAGGAAACCTTCCTGGTAAAACCTAACAAAGCCATTGTCTTTTTAAAATAGTGTATAAAAATGACTATTTTTCCTGGTTATCACGTTTTTAAGCTTTTGTGTAAAAAGCAGCCACCTGTGGTGTGATGGATTTTTATCTTTTTAATAATGTTTGACCTTCCTGTTTGCTTTCTGCTCACCAGGAGTAAAGCACAAGAGCCAGATGACAGTGGAGGACTGTTACGAGCTGGGGAAAATATCCTACTCAGATGCTGATTACTACCACACAGAGCTGTGGATGGCCCAGGCCCTGAAACAGCTCGACGAGGGAGAGGAGTCCACCATAGACAAGGTGACGGTGCTGGACTACCTCAGTTACTCCATCTACCAGCAGGGGGAGATTAAGCGAGCTCTAGAGTACACCTTGAAGCTGCTTCAACTCGGTAACCTTACTTTAACTATTTCAGAGAATTGAATGCTTTGATTTCCTCCTTATGGTGACATCATCAGCATTACTAGTATTTGTTTTCCACATTTTCAGACCCAGAGCACCAGCGTGCCAAAGGCAATGTGAAGTACTTTGAGTATCAGCTGGAGAAGCAGAAAAAAGAGGCAGAGGAAAAAGCCCAGAAACCAGAGGAGGGAGAAAAAGAGGAGACACCCAAAAAAAAGAAACGGTCCTCAAAGAAATCCTTCTCTCTGATCCCAGAGAGGAAGAAGTACGAAATGCTTTGTCGAGGGGAGGGGCTTAGGATGGTGAGGAAGAAAAGAGGACGATAATGTCTGAGTTAACCCTACTTCTATCTACAACACCGTTTTTTATTTCTATCTCAACATCAGACCCCCCGCAGAGAGAGCAGGCTGTTTTGTCGATACTATGACAACAACCGCCACCCCAGGTATGTGCTGGCACCTATCAAACAGCAAGATGAGTGGGACCGCCCCTACATCGTTCGTTACCTTGACATTATCTCTGATGAAGAAATCGAGAAAATCAAGCAACTGGCGAAGCCACGAGTAAGTAATTAGGAGCAGTAGGATTGTGTGCAGTGGCTTGAATGTGATTCAACATGTTGAGTTGTGGTAGGTGGAAGCCTTGAGGCTGGTTTGTTGGGTTAGACAATCACACAGGCATGCACCTGTGCCTCAGTGTGGGGGTTAAATCATGTTCCTGGCTTCACAGCTGCGCAGGGCAACCATCTCCAACCCTGTCACTGGAGTACTGGAAACAGCTTCTTACAGGATCAGCAAAAGGTAAGATAGAGGTTAAGGGGGAGATTTTGGAGGGCATTATCCTCCCCCCCTTAAAAACACTTCTAGTTCCCTCTTTGGACTCCCGTCAGTCCAAAACTCCACTTTGCTACCCCTCCAAAGCTTCAAGGCTCCTGAGCGTAATACAGATTAAGAAAACATTTATAAGGCATATTTAGTTCCTTAAAGCCAAATTCCTCCATGTATTAAATTGGGTTTCTATGTGATAGACCAGCAAATAATCGTAAATTGGAACAAATGTGACACAAGCCTCTTAGTAGTTTTAACAAATAAAAGCCTTTTGGGGACGTGACTCGACCAGCTCTGCTCATCTACAAGGTTTTTTATTTCATTTGTAAAGTAGGATACATTTATTCATATTGAATAGGGAGACTCTTTTCAATTTATAAGTTTTCTATTGAGTTTAGATCTGGCCGGAACATTTTAACACATGAATATACCGAACCTCAAAGTACAGAATATAATTACAGCTCTGGCTCCATCTTTAAGTCTATTCTTAATTCCTTTAAAGCCTCTGACATGTTGTTTTTCAGGAGGGATCTGTAATATCAGTAACTCTGGCTAGCTTATGTTAGTGCTGAAGTTGGTTATCCCCACAGCATAATGCTGCCACCACTATGGGGATGGTTTGTTTCTGTGATGGAAGGTGTTTTCCTGTATTTACACTGGTTACTTCCCCAGTCCGCTCAACTCGGTACTTTACTTCCAGTCGTTTCATTTCCATTTTCAAACTACATGCTCTGCTCTGCTGTGAAGCCCGGATGTGCTCAGAGAATTATGAGTTTACTCATTAACAGTCAGACCAAAAAAAGACATAAAACACTTAAAACAGATTTTTTTCAGCAGTTTTCCTCCAGAAAAGCTATATTTTTGCATTTAATTTCTGTACCATGCATAGCCATAAATGGTAAATTTATCCATCCATCCATCCATCCATCCATTATCTTACACGCTTGTCCCAATTGGGGTCACGAGAGGTGCTGGTGCCTATCTCCAGCAGTCAATGGGCGAGAGGCAGGGTACACCCTGGACAGGTTGCCAGTCCATCGCAGATGGTAAATTTAGATATGTATAAATGCATGTATTTATTTAGTAAGCAAGACAATCTAGTCTTTCTTATGTGAATTATTTAAATATGGTTGTTGTGCTTGTTTGTTTGGTCTGGTAGATAGACTCAGAATTGGTTCCAGCATCAGTCTGAAACAGACTGTAAATGCTCTGATTGATTATATTGGTTGTGTATTTACTGCAGAGTTTACACCAAAGTACTGATGCAAGCAGATTTCGGGTGCTAGTTTGTTGCATATAAAGATTTTTCTCCCACCTGACCATAGCACCCTATTTTATGCGTTTGCCTTGTCCCTATAGCTTTATGCAATGATTTATCTGTTTTAAGTTTTACTAAAAATGACTACCGTAATAGTTGTTATAGCTGTGTTTTACAGAACAGCTGTATTATATGACATTATATACAAGTCAACCTGAGAAAAGTTTGCAAAAAGTTTACACAATTTTATTTAGGAATTCAGAGTAAAGGGGGCTGAATACTACACTCATATTTCATTGTTTTCCTTTTTTTAAAGCTGGAAAACAACGTATCATATTTGTCTGACACACAGGCTCTATTTTGTGTTGATTTATCACATAAAATTCCAAATATTTACCTAGAAGTTTTTCTTTGTAATGTGGGAAAGTACAAGAGGTGTTGATACTAGTTTAAAGTTATATTGGACTCATCAATAGATTATCATTAAGGGAAATAGAGATATACTAGGCTCTATAAACTCTATTATTTTACAATACTTTGGTATGGATAAAAAAGTAGCATATTTTAAATTATCGGGACAATCTGCTGCTCAGGAGTCTGTTACACAAAGGTAACAACAAGCTGAAGGGGGACATTTTTCTGCTAGTTAATAATAACATAGTTTCTTCGTCTCCCTTTTAGTGTATCAGAGGCAGCTGATGCATTAATAACGAAAGCTAATATTCTGAAACATGTAGAGGTCCAGTATTGCTTCATACAGCGCTCTGCTTTTTCTTATTAATAACGCCACCAACCACTGACCTCATCTTCTCTCTCCCTCTTTCCATCTCCTATTCCGTCTGTCCTCTTCTTGTTTTTCTTCCTATGCTTTTCTCTCATTATTTCCTGTATCTTCTAAAAACTACCATAGCTAAGACGGGCCACGGTGCATGACCCTCAAACTGGGAAACTTACCACAGCCCAGTACAGAGTCTCCAAGAGGTAAGGGGTCACAGGTCAACAGGTCTTAATCCAGCTTCATCTCTGTCAGCCTCCTGGCTTTGTTTGACCTTGCACAGAGAAAAAAAAAAATGAAATGGAAAACTAACAATTTATGGGGTTTAATTATTATTGACGCAAACAGTTTGTTTAAACCAAGATAATTAAACCCCTATTTCCTTCTACTGGATGATCTATAGATCATTTTATTAAACTCATTCATTTTCTTTCAGCCATTTTCCCTACAGGAATGAATATCTCCATAATGACTGCTGTGTGCAATTCTATATATTTAGATCTTTTTCCTATTGTATTAATAGCAGCAGATTTTTAATTTTTTATATCATTACATTAAATGTAGTATTAAATACTCAGAATTTAACTGCAAACATAAATGCTAGTTATCTATTTTAAAGCATCCATCTGAACACCATCATAAAAATAGCACGCAAACTCAAACCCCCACATCTTTCTGGTTTTACTGCTCCTGGTCATTAATGTCAGTGTGCAAGGATGTTAGGGTGTGGTGTCCTTTTGGTGTGTTTTTTTTTCCCAGTTTGTATGTGTGAGTCAGGATGTTGTTTTAGATTTAGTGAGCATAAGTATATGATGAGCTGGAGAAACAGTTCTTTGAACTGGCTTTAAGATACTTGCTCTGCTGGCTCATGTTTGACCTGAAAATATAACTCGGCGTCGCATAAAAATACAATTAATATCAAATCTAGTTACCTCTTATATTTACCTATCTACCTCAAAGTGAGGGTTCATACATTTAAACCCTTAGGCAGTTGAGCTGTTTTTTTAACTTGCTGTTTAATTTCTAAAAAGATCTTTTTAAAGTTTTGGAATTTATTATGATCCTTAAAATGGAAACAGTTTTTAGTGGTATGACTGGTTTGATGTGGATATTGTGGGTTTTTACTGCTTCTTCCATAACAAGGACAATTTAAATAGTGTATTTTAGACCCTGAAAGGAACAAAAGCACACATTTTTCTAGAATAGTGAAAGCTAAGATTTTTTTTCTATTTGTTGCTCAATCAGACTATAAAAGTGCACAAACCTGTACCCTAAGCTGCTTTGGAGATCACTGGGCTCTTTCCAGTTTTCTAATTTCTTCACACTTTTTCTTCATTTTTTTAAGATTTCCAAAAAAGAAAAATTAACAATATATTTTCTTAATCCTTTTCAGCATGTTCTGAGCATGGCATGGCTTTGTTCTCTTCACCGAAGAGCTATATACTGCCATCTAGTGAACAGATTTGTATTTTAAGAAAAATGAATGAATATCTTAGCCTCTGTGTTGTGCCTTTCTTTACTGCAGCGCTTGGCTCACCAGTTATGAAGATCCAGTGATTGAAAAGATCAATGAGAGGATTGAGGCCATCACAGGTCTGGAAATGGACACAGCAGAAGAACTTCAGGTAGACTTTTAATTAATTATTCTAGACAAAGACATAAAAATGCGTTCACTGTTAAAAACTGTGTTTTTTTCTAACACACTTAGAAGTTTTATATCAGCATGATTACTGTGCTTAGGATAAACAATAAAGAAAATAAAATTTTAAGGTTCAAATTCTGTAAAAATAAATAAATAAATAAAAACACAAGTTTTGTGAGATATAAATTTTGACAACCTGACATACATTCTCTGTTAAAGCCTCCCTAATCACATATTTGAGTTTTACATCATACAAGATAGAGAACTGCTGTTTGTGGCTGTTGAAATAGGAGTCAACTTCTGAAAAAAAGAGCTCTCTGAGGTCTTTGGGAAGAAGATTAGAGCAACATACTGAATGTAGTCTGTTAGTGGAAGACATGTAAAACATCTACCTGTGTGCCTCAGTCTGTCTGCTGAAGACACCCCTGAAACTAGAGTGCAAGCTGTTAAAGAAATAATTTAAATATAAATATCAACTAAAGATCAACATCGAGACTTTGATCTCATTTAGTCGCAGCAGACTGATAAATATCCACCAGAAGCTTCTGGCGTGATTTTAAACAAAATGTGTTTGTTTGATGTTGAAGGTTGCCAACTATGGTGTTGGAGGGCAGTATGAACCTCACTTTGACTTTGGAAGGGTAAGCTTTTAATAATTTGATTTCTGATGTCAAGCTGTGACTTTATATGATGTGACATTCTATGTGGTGTCTGATATTTTTACAGAAAGATGAACCAGATGCCTTTAAAGAGCTGGGAACTGGAAATCGTATTGCGACTTGGCTATTTTATGTGAGTAAACACATGCTAATAACAGGTTGCTTTGAATGGCATTTGATTGTTCCTTAGATGGGTTTTTTCACATCTAATGTGTCAAAATGATTATGATGATTCTTTTCAGTCTAAGGTGTTGGAATATGATGTAAAAATAATTGCTTGTAAACAACAGTTTTAGAAAAATAAACTGATTTTGAGATGACGTTAATTTGCTAAATGCTTCCTGCTGAAAACTTGTGTATAAACATAAAATGTCCATGCTTAAACAGGTACACTGAAAAAATAATGCAACCACGTTTGCCATTTACTTAATCATATTTAGTTACTTTAACACAATTTTTAATGTCCTACACTGCCAACATGAAACAATTGGGTTAAAGTAACTAAATATGATTAAATAAATGCTAGAAATCGTTGCATAATTTTTTTATGGAAAAATTTTAGAAAAGTGTCTGCTAAAAAAAAAAGCAACACTAAGGAATCATTTCCTATTTTTAATGAAAAGAAATCACTTTATAAATATGAAAAATACAGTATATTATTTATATATTTAAGACATAAAAGGTTCACTTACTAAAATAAACTAACTATTGAATAAGAAGAGGGACGATCTTCCTTCCTCTTCTGCTGTTTTTTTTCCCCCAGACACCAGTCATTTGTGTCTGTTGTGTTTACCCCTTCTTTGTTACTTTCCTCTTGCTGCACATGCACACTTCTAGTGTTGATATATCCAGTGGAATCTGAAGCTTTAACAATTTGATTAAATAAAACCTTTTTTCCTTTTTTTTTATGTGCCAAGGCTCATGGGCAAAACAGTAATAAAAAATGGTTTTTAATGCATGCTGTAATTAATAAGGTTCCATGCAAGTTCATTTTAGCTTTTATTATATTTCTACTTTTTTGTTGCAAATAGCTGAGAGAAACAAAACAGCTAAATGTATTCCCCAGTATTAGTAGTGCTACTCATTCTCTGTTATTGACTGTATAGTAACTTATAAATAATGTATATGAATAAGATAGAATGGAGCTGACCTTAAATCTATGAATATAAATAATTAATAAACATTGCATCGACTATTGTGTTTCAGAAGCAGCTTAGGATCGTAAAGAGCGACTAAGGTTTGATGTTAGCCCAACAAGCCTGTTAATACCTTTTCTTTTCCTTGCTTTATCTGCTGCAGATGAGTGATGTGACTGCAGGGGGAGCCACAGTATTCCCTGATGTAGGTGCAGCAGTTTGGCCTAAAAAGGTAACCAAGCACTAACACCTAGAATTTACTAATATATTCATTTTGCTACATTATATTAGAACAAATGCAAAATTCAAATATCTGATCTTATTAAAAAAAAAATAATCTATTTTTTAAAATCTTTTATACACTAAATGGTTTTGTGATTCATAGCATCCATATATTACTGACGTAAAAAAAAAGATATCTTTCTGATTCAGATAGCATAGTTTAAAATAATACATTTACATAAAAATTATAGCAGTTTTTTTGAAAAATAGAAATTGGAAGTGAATGTTTGAGATTAATGCATGCTAACAGTTTAATAGAGAGAGCTGCTGCTTACCTCTGTCGCTGATTTCAGGGTACGGCTGTGTTCTGGTACAATCTGTTTGCCAGCGGGGAAGGAGACTACAGCACCCGGCATGCAGCCTGTCCAGTGTTAGTGGGCAACAAGTGGGGTGAGTTCCTCTTTTGAGTATCAGACTTTCAATTTAACTTTCATTTATGTTTGGAGGTTTTTATGAGAGGTATAAATAAAGTAATGGTAACATTTGAATCAGAAAGCGCAGATACAAGCATTTTGTGGTATACGTCTTGCTTTCTGTAAAAAGTTTCAGCTCAGTTCAGGTGGATAGATAGCTTCCCTAAACAGCAGTTTTTAAGCTTTGATTGCTAGTTTGATTTAAAGCTGGGCGTTAAATCTAATTCTAATACATAAATGTGCATTGCTCTGAACTCTGTCGTTGAAAACATGCCTATATATATACCTTTTGGTATATTTATACTTTTATCTATTAACTCTGTGGTCCAACCTCCTCCCAGTTTAAGGCAAAGCCTTCCCATGTTTTTCTTAAGGGAGATGATGTGTTCAGGGGGATTGGCAGTGTTAGCTTTGTCCTCTTCTCACAAGAAATTTGTGAGCAGGACATGAGAAAATGTAAAAAGTGAAAGGATTATTCATTTGTTTTCAAGACACTATATGTGTAAAGACATGATCTAGATTATTCTTAAGATCAAGTTTTTTTTCCTCTTTCTTTTAGTATCAAACAAGTGGATCCATGAACGGGGTCAGGAGTGGCGGCGACCCTGCGGCTTGAATGAAACTGAATGATGTAAAGAGAGAACAACAACCTTTCCTATCTAATCCCTTATCCCAGTCCTCTTTTTAACCACCGAGGATCAGAGAACACTGCAGCACACCACAGATGATCCATGGGGTCCAAATGGCTCCCCCCTCCTCCCCCGTCCTCCCTCCTGAGTGATCCATTTTTCTCCCCACCTGTTTTCTGTCTGTGAGCCCAGAGATTGTTTTGATAATATCGAGCTCCCCCGGACAGCATCCGCGTCGCTGTGACAGATAACTTGTTCTTGGGATTGTCGGAGAGTATTTGAGAAAGACCCGAGCTTTGTTCACTCCCTTGAGTCAGCCTTTGCACTCTGAATGAACTCCTGCTCTGTGGCGAGGTTATCCCTCAGTTGTAACTGCAGGGATCCGCTTCCCCTTTTTCTAAAGTGAACATCAGAGGTTTTTTTTCCCCACATTTTTATTTGTTTAATTGCTTTCCTTACATTGGCCCTTGGAGTTTTGTTTGTTATTTTTGGAAAAGTTTAACATTTCAATAAGAGAAAAAATGTCATCAATGTTTCACATTGACTAGCTGATGCTTTATCGGCTAGATATGACTGTGACACTGCGTTAGACTCACCGAATATGGGAAATCTTTTTTTTTCTCAACCAGATCTGACCTGAAAACCTTTTGCGCATGAACAAACCAACATTTTTTTTAAAGCTATCAAAGGGGGAATTCAGAGCAAGGTTTTTATTTCTTGCTAATCTATGCAATACTTTATCACCCATTGCACATCATGTGATTTGCTACACTTTACTTCCAATGTTTACACTCTGACATCGCTCTAAAAACTGGATCATTTTTAAACCAAAGTTGTTTTTAAAGTCATATAAGATCCCATCTAATTAGGCTCCATTTTCAGTGTATGGAAGTTTCAGTTGGCGTTTAGGTACCCTTTACATTTTTTTTTTTTGGCAGTGATAAATGGTAGTAAGTGTGAAAATATTTGGATTTTTCCAGAGATGTGTTTTATTTATATGTCCCAAGTTAACTTTTAAATGTCTTCTTTTATAATAAAGACCTTTTATTGACAGAAAAAAAATAATTGTATAACTGTATTTTGTTTCATAGTTTGGGTGGGATGATGTTTAAGTAAAGTTAGAGTAAAATGAAATTACCATGTGGCACAAATTTAGTTTAGTAATATTTTCCTTGGGCTCTGAAGGCACAGTTGTAAGTTGCTGTGAAAACAAGTACATTTTTTCCTGCATATTTAAAGGGCAGGAATCTTCTCCTCTGTAGTGAGAACATTATACTGTGTTAAACAGCATTGTGTTATACTTTAGAACACAATACAGCTATATACCTTTGATCGCTAACAGCTAAAGAAGATGTGATAAATTAAAGGCCTTATTCTATTTTTGTTGTTTTTTGTTGATCTGACTCTGTGCTTCACTTGATCATACCTGCTGGAACATCATGTACCAAAAGACAATCAGAGATTTAGGAAGCTTTTATTCAATAAGTGAAAAAACACAAAAAAATAATAAGAAATGGGGAACTCATACAATTAGCTTGAAATTATAAATACTTCTGGCAGGCCTGGATTTAAATTGATTTATATTTAAATCAGAAGCGTGTTTCTGAGAGGAAATTAGAAAGATATCTTTTAAAAATTGGCTACTTTTGGTATGAAAACAATAACCCTAATCTAATAATTGCTGCCAAGTTTTTAAAATAATTACCGGTATATTGGTATATTGAGGAATTTAGCTTTGGTATTAATTCAGTCTTTAAGGTGAAATGCCTCCTTGCCATCCCTTCCAAAATCTTAAGAGTTAAGTTGGGTTTGGCTGAGCCCAGGGCCTTACGCCAGACCCAAAAAACTACTGAGGACAAAAGTTCAGGGATAAAAGTGAGTTTGATGACATGCTCCCTCTGCTTTTAATTCCATCATTTAAATCTGGCCATTTTCAGTCTTAAGGATCCATCATGATTACTTCTGAAAAGGCTAGGCTGAGAATTTCTTTGTTCCTCCCCTGTCTCCCCTGCCAGACATTATAAACTTGATTTTTATGTCATCTTTCTTTTGGTGATTCTATCTACAATAGCTTGGAATGTGTCACAAATCACATTGCGATATAATTGAAATAAGTTGCTTCACATTTACTATTATTACAGTATTATGTAGAGGATGGAGCCTGATAAGTTCACTTTTGTTAAGGCAAGCCAACGTTTGGACACATTTCTACTATAATCTTACACAATACTTCAATCATTATGCATTAGGACTGGCTTTTACAGCGTATACAGTTCTGGCACAGTATCTTCCTTTTCTAGTACCTGCTCTCCCTCTATCTTTTTCTCCTCACTGCTCCTGTTGCTCATTGGCCCTTTAAGGAGCTTGGTTTGGCTCAGTCTTTTCCTCCCTATCCTGTTTTCCATTTAGTGAAGAATATCAACACAGGCAAAAGTTAAACTGATACAAATGAAAACGACATGCCATTTCAACCACATATTTCAAGGAGTTTTATTTGTCATTTCAACACGTTAACATGAAATGAAACAAAATTAGTTTCCCTGGTCCCAGAGCAGACCAATGTCAAAGTATAAAATAGTAAAATTATTTTATATTGTGCAGTGCTGGATTGTGTGGGACTTCCTGTCCAGCACAGTAAGCTGCCTTGCTACGTTGAGCTCCGGTATTCGGCAGAAATATAAAACAGGTTCAGCATCCAACACTGAGAAACCATCACTGAATAAACGTAAATTTTCAGTCAAGACGTCGCTAACATATCCATCACATAATGACTGTTGATTAAACCATAGGAAATTCACTGATAACTGTTACTGACAGAGTTAATTAAACTTTGGTTCGATGATGATGCTGTCTGGGTAGTATCAATCAAAATATTTCCTCTATTCTATCAAACAGTCAAACTACTCTTGGCTCTTTAAATATAAAACAGCTCACTGTAAGCGACACCAAGAACACTGTCACTGTGGGGCGACAGTGGCGTTGGATGTAGGAGTTTGCCCTGAAATCAAAGGGTTGACGGTTCAAGCCCGACTCTGACTTTTAGTGTCGTTGTGTCCTTGGGCAAGACACTTCACCTGCATTGTCTACTGATGGTGGTCAGAGGGCCCGGTGGCGCCAGTGTACGGCAGCCCGGCTTCTGTGTGTGATCATCAGTGTGTGAGTGTGTGCTTGAATAGGTGAATGAATGTAGTGTAAAGCGCTTTGGTCAAGTCTCCTAACTTGAATAAAGGCGCTATATAAGTACATGCCATTTACAATTTAGGTAGTTTCAGGTTAATATATTTTAGTTTATATAGTTTATGAATAATTAGCTTTATAATTTTGTTGTAATTCATTATTTGAGACATTTACCCTTTTATTTTTGGATGACATTATAAACTCCACTTTATTGTTTCTGTATTGGAATTTGTTTTCGAATACCATCACAAAAATATACCATTTAAAACACACAAACACTGAAAACAGATCAAATGAAACTGATTAAAGCTTACATGTAATGACAATCCAAGATCCAAGTTTGGCACATTTTAAAAACAGAAAGTATTGTGTTATGGTCTAAAAATATAGGGAGGACAACTGACCAGTTCCACAAAATGGACTTTGCTTCACAATTCTCTCAAAGCTCTGGGTATCTCTGCTCTGCACTTTTATCTGACACATATTTTCCGTCATAGAAAAATGCAGGCATGTGTGGGGGCCATAAGAGGGAGTGGCTCGCCCGAAGGGGCCATTCATGCAAGGACCGCCTCTGGTGCAGTACTAATCTCAGAGTCATTTGCTCATCCAGCCTTCTGTGAGGTTGGACGGACAAGGCCAAGGCACAGAGAGAGAGGGGCAACAGCAGCTCTTAGTAGAGAGATACCGGTCCACAGATTTACCTTAAATCAACGTCAATTCAAGGATAAACAAAAAAGTTACAGCTTTGCAAAAAAAGACAAAGTGCCGGGACAAGATGATGACCCAGATAGAGACAACGGTGCACTATGACAACGGGTACGAGGATGAATATATGCTCCAGGAGGAGGAATGGGACAGAGACATGCTGCTTGACCCTGCATGGGAGCAACAGCAGAGGAAAGTATGTCTTTTTAGTTAATACTGAAAATAAATCAGGTATTCTATGATCATTTACAAAAAGTGGCAAAACTATTTTAATCTTGTTTTTATTCATATTAACCTAGAGTTAAAGTTTAAAATAAAATTTTACATTTTTAAATGAAAATCAAACATCTAACAGCAAAGTTTGCTGCAGAACTTATGGAGAACCTGAAGAGCAAAGGATTCATCTGGTCAACCTCTTCAAAATAAAACACCTGGCAAAATCCATAGAGTCAAAATTGCTAAAAAATAATCATAGCTTTCCTTCTTTTGTCTTTTTATTATTTGCAACAGGAAAAATACACAAATTATGTGGAAAATATAGGCTGTAATACATATCTCAATACATGTATTACAACAACAGTATATCATTATTTCACATCGCATTTTCTCATTTCATGATTTACACTGCAGCACTTTTATTTCCATGTAACGTAATTTTGTCATTCTCAACCTCCAAAGTCACTGCTCTTAAAGAAAATATCCCTTAAGTGGACCTACAGGGAAGTTAGCCAGTTTATTTGATGAGATACAGTGACAGTTTGAAGTACAGCCTATTCACCTTTATTTATACAGGGCAATGTCATCGAGACATGCAGTCTTATTCTTCAAGAGCAACCTGTTTAAAACAGAGGAGAGAAATGTTTTAGAGCAAACTATAGTTACTGAAATTCATTCAACTTAAAAAAAAAAAACACCCAGTAACAATAACACATAAGGAACAAGAGTACATATTCATTGCTGTCCTTTTCATTGTCTCTTGAATTTGGAGTTTTCTCTAAACAGAAGTTGTTAGTAAATATCTTATTATTCTTTCATCCTTAGCCTATATATTGAGGAAGTCCTGAAAGTAGAAAGAGTGTGGAATGTGCTCTTTAGGGTAAAAATGGGAACGCAATACTAGTAACTGATTTGTGATAAAATTATATCAATGTTAGGAATAGTGCTCTGGGATAAAAAGTGCCCAACGTCTGAGGAGCCAAAAGTTAATGCATATAATCTCACTTATACGAATGGTTAGAAGGTTCCTGCAATTATTCATCAAATTATTGACAAATTTATTGTGTATGTAGATGGAAAAAAAACACTAAAAAAGTCACTATACACAAAATTTTATATAACTTCATATATATATCTAAATGTTATCAATGTAGAGTGAGTCAAGAGCAAAATAGGTCTTGGTTGTATTTTGAAGGACAGCTTAGACTTTTCCGGTGCAGTTGACGTCAGATCGACGGGGACCAAATTGTGCGGCTTTGACGGACGGATGCGGCGGGTACCACAGTGTCTAACAATAGCCGTGCCCCTGCCTCTCCACTGATACGTGTGGAATGCAAGCTGTCAACAGATGCTCCCAGCACATGATGACGCTCTCCGGATCAGAATGGACGCAGCGTCTAATTTTAAACCCTAGGACCAAAAGGCATTATAGTGGGGTTAATCCAGCGTCCTTGGGTGGTGGAATCCTTTTGTTTATAGAAACCAGGCAGATATATATTGGAGTTTACCAGCAGCAGCTCAACTCGTTATAGCTTTGGCCTCCCATACTGCCAGTTGGGGGTTTTCAGGGCTTTAAGAGTTGGCTTGAGCCTTGAAACTGCAGCTCCAACAGCACCATGCCCTCTATAACCCCTCTCTGGCCCTCATGGAAATGATGACAATATGTGTATTTTTAGGAATACAAGTTGATCGTTAAGTTTCTTTTACTTCTTTGTGTTAAGCAATAGTAAAGTCCCAAAAAGCATTCAAAACAATATAACAGTGTTAAAACTTCTATGGCTTTACAGAGCTGTGCAAAAGGAGCACAGGTTTTACTTTTTTTTTAATGAGCCTGTCTCAGGTCTTTAAAACAATGAAAGAAATTGAACGTGGATGAAGAAGTAATACCTAACTCAATTTTTAATAAAGCTCAGTTTAATTTCTCTAGTCCGATCTATGTCTATTTTTCTCCAGATGTCCAGAATCAAGAAATAGCTTTCATAGAACCTTTCTAAAAACATGAAGTAGAATAACTGACTTTAACAGCCTACAAGAAGTAGACACAAATAAAACAAATCAATAAATAAAGTGATTCGTTTGGAAATGACTATAAAGACATTTTTAATGCTAAAAGGTATAGTGGAGGATGTTCTTTTTCCAGGTGGGTCATAAAAAAAAGCGGTCCACCTAATTGTCAATGATTCTGGGATATGTTTACATAAGGCCGTCCTACGTGCTCGTCCCCATTTTCACTTACCGGTGGTGAGTCTGACATAGTGGAAAATTATTTAAATCTTTTAGAAAGTAAACTTGTATGAGTGATGCAAACAGCAACTTTTTAACTGACCGTGCACGAGGAGAAATGGGCTCGTGCATGCTCTCGCACGTCTTTAATAGATGTTTCCTCTTGGGAACGGGTACAGGGTTGTGCATGTACATCTTTTTTTAAAGTGGAGAGGGTGGGTCTTTTCAAAAACTGAAAATCCTACGCTATACCTTTAAAGTCCTACAAACCTCAGAGAGACATTAGTAACAATGAGAAAATACAGCATGGTGGTGAGCTTTCCCAGGAGGCTTCCAGGCTATACCTAATTTACTCAAAGAGAGAATTGATGAATCATCTTTAGGGTCACAAAACCACTGAAGACCTCACCTGGCTTCAGCAGCTGACCAGAAAAAGTAATGGTCTGTCTAGCTGAAAAGCATCTTAACTTCAAGTTATCATTTGGACTTCCAATATGTGGGCATTTTTGGACAAAATCTTACATTTAAAATTTTTCCAAAAAGTCTTGAGAGAATGTCCAACGGTCAGTTTGTTAACCTAAGCTCAGGCAGACTTTTTTAAAATCTGCAGTTAAATCTGATCGATTTGCAGATGTCTACATTAAACATGAGGTTCCTATCGAAATACTTCTAATATGGCTGAATTAGAACAGTTGTTCATGACAAGGTGAACACAGAAAGTAACAGAAAATACTGATTACCAAGAATTTGAAGTTTTGGCCATAAGGCTAACATAACCAGTTACTTGGTTAATGTAGTAATTATATTTTCAGAGAAGGGCCAGATTAGTATGAAGCTATTTTCTTTCAATAAATCTCAATAAACATAATGCTGAGTTACTCTAGGCTCCTTAGAGCTGAAATAACTAGAAAACACCAACTATTCTTGTGTCTCGCTGAAAGAATGTCAAACTGCAGGAATACATGAAGCAATTAGTATGTATTTTTTACTGGTAACAGTTTTGTTTGTACTTGTTATTCATTGTCTCTGTTTTGCATCTATTTAAAGAGCCAGAGTTGAACAGAATCCCTACAGGTTCCATATATTAACCCCTGTCACTAGGCATCCTTCTTATCATCACAGTGCTTCAGAAGGGAAAGTGTATTATGTATTTAATTCAATCAGCAAAAAATGTGTAAGGCAACATTTCCTCTTTTTTTGTCTTTCATGCAGTCAACAAAGGCATCATTTAATCATTGGGTGTAATTCAGTGATATTTTTAGCAGTAATCGTCACTGGGTAGTGCTTTGGGGGTGATGAATCGGGCTTGTGAAGTGGGCAGCAGTGTTCTGGAACTGTGAATGATTTCAGTTTGAAGGACTATCAAGCAATTTTATTTTTCTACTACCGTAGAATGTCCCACACACCAGGAGGCTGAAGCTTGGGACCGGCTGGACTTGCATACGGTACTACTGGGAGCAGGCTCCCAGGTTAAAGTACTCTTAATTAAACACAACCTTGTTGTTGGAACAAATTCTACTCTGAAATCACACCAATTTAATGCTGAAAAATAAGTATGCTTTTTTTTATTGACGGATTCAAGTGTTTTTGGTAATCAAGCTAAAACTGAAAAGAAAAATAAAGTCAGATTCAGCAAAATTGATAAATACAGAAATAGATAAAACTTGAATTACCCATCATATTACATTCAGAAAGATTTGCATGCATTCCTCTGACTTCACCTGCACATCAAATTGTAAAGTATTCGTTAGGGCTTGTAGTTTTTTGGAAGGTGAGTGGTTAATAAAATAGAATAACAGTACACTATATGAATAGAAAGTAAAGCCCATAAAACAAGGATAATCTAGGTACCTAACAGCTGGGCAAGGCAAAATATAAAGAATAAGCACAAGTGGGATATAACAATAGAAGAAGAAATTTTATTCTCATAAAGTTAATAAAGACTGAAAAAACAAAAATGCTATAATCAGAAGAAAACTCTCTATTTCTTTTCAGGCTTAATCTGCTGATTCTGATTTTATTTGAACTAAAACAGAGCACATGAATTAGAGTTAGAACTGAGTAGAACAGGTAATTTAATACAAAACCAGTATAAATTTTGGATATGTCCTTAACTTTAACATGCTTTTGTTGTCTTAACTTGGAAACATGATATCAGTGCACAAGCTGATTTTTTTTTTCTATAGGCTGAAAATGATGGGAGATCTATTGGGGATGCATTCGATTGTAAATGTATAGTAAATATGGAGTGCTGCTTTCAAATGATTAGGTGTATATCAGGGCCGTGCACAGACCACTAAAGGGGCAGGTGCTAAAAAAAGGGCACATCTTATCGCATTTTAGGACAGAATATTAACAAAGTCACATAGCTTTCAGAGTTTAATGAACAATGATAAATTACAAAATTGTGAGACATACAATCAAAGCTAAGGGAAACACAAGAATAACAGCCTAATGTCTGTATGATAAAAATACCGAATCGATAGATAAGAACAGCTTTTCCTCACCTGGCTGTCTCCTCCCGCTCAGTAGTTCTTCAGAGAAAGGCGCACCGCGTCCTATACTTTCCTCCGTTTAAACCGCTACTCTTTGCTAAAGTAGAGAAATTATACAACATTCAAAATTTTCCGTTGTCTGACAAGTAGCAAGCCTACTATTTTCACCAAAAATTATGTTTTTTAATTCACAAAAAAACTGTTCTGTAATCATAACAGAACAGTTTTTTGTGAATTAAAAAACATAATTTTCAATGTAAAAGACTAAAAGCACAGAGTAAACAGTGTTTTAGAT